TTTATGTATATAATTATATACTTATTTGCAGTTATTCATGGTCACTGTATATAATTAATTATATTTAATGTTGTATATAAGTATATATAATTTTTTTAAATATATCATTCCTTTGCTATTCTGTGTAACATGATAATGTAAATTTTACATGATAAATTAATTTTAAATTAAATAAAATCAAAAGGATTCTTCCAAATCTGAATTCATTCAGAGTAAATTCACGTGTTTAAAATATTTTATACATGAATGGAGCATTCAAACCACATGGCACAAAACATGGTAAGGATATCAAAAGAAAAGAATTGACAAAAATCGAATCAAGAATTAATGAATTCAAGTATCAGAAGAAATAACAAAACCCAAGGGCTGTTGTTTGGAAAATACCAATATATTTGAAAACTTCTACCAAAGCTAATCAAGAAATAAAGTAAGTATTTGTACACTAATAGTGTAAAGGAAATATATCAATACAAGAGTAGCATTTTTAATAAGAGAAACTTAGTAACACACGCCCAGCCCTGGGCTTCAGGCATAAACAGACCTCCTCCTAGATATCCCAGGGGAGCAACCACCCAGCCCATGAGAAAAAGCTTCTCTCTATGCTCACCCCACATTTGCTCCTTCTCTTAGTTTTCCTATCTTAGTAAATGCATCACTATCATGCAGATGCTTAAGACAAAGGCAAGAGAAATTTCTTTTTTCATTCTCCCTTACAACACACATAGCATCAAATTACTAAATCTTGGTTGGTTTTATTTCTTACATATATATTTAAAAGATCCCCACTTATTTCCATCTAAACCACCAACACCCTAGTCTAAGCTAGCATCATTTTTCACCTCAGACACATCAGTAGCATTCCACTGATCTCCTTTCATCCACAGGTGCCCCCATCTAAAATATTATCCAACTGGCAAGCTTTCAAGCCTGCATCACTCATGATTTCCCTCCCTGTCTCGAGTCCCTTCCATGGCTCACTGCCCTTAGAATAAAGGAAAAACTCCACAGCATGAATCACAGGGTTCCACCTGATACAGTGCCTAATAATCATCTCAGCTCCAGCTTTTTCGTTTCATGCTCCATGTATATAATCATTCAGGTATTCAAGGGCATGGTTTAAAAATGTTTACATGTAACATTCCATCAACCTTCCATGCTGTCCATTTGCCTAGATACCTTCTACACAGTCCCCAGCTATAGACTTCGAAGTTCCTTGCTCAAAGGAGCCTCGTTTGCTGCCCCCTCCCCACCCTCAGACAAGCGTGAGTCCCCTATGATGCCCCTCTCTTCCTTTCTGTGAGGATAGGTACCATCTCCTTCTTGTTTACTACTCTCTAAAATATGTGCCATTATGTTTAACACAGCATGTGATATGCTTAGTAAATCCTTCATGAGGAATCACAAAAATATTTCAAAGGAGTTTAGAAAAGGTAAGGTCAAGTGTGATCCTATTTTTGAAACATAAAATACAAGTAGAGACACATGATATATTGAATATGTCCACAAAAATGCATTCTACTGTGATTTCAGATTACAGAAATCTGAAAAACAAATTAGGGATTCTATTTTTATTTTTTTACATCATGAGGAACCTTAATGTGGGGAGTCCAGAACCTGTGCTGTAGTTACAGATGAAAATTTGAGTCATCAGCTTATAGCATTTTTAAAACCATTGAACCAGCCAGCTGAGAGCACCTAGTGAGAAAAGAGAGGAAAAGAATAGGCCCAGGCCTCAACTTTGGGGGACCCCAGCAGAAGAAATTATTTAATAATATATTCTAACAACACCAAACTGGTAACAAACATGAAATTTCCAAAGGTAGGGTCATAAATATGGCCTTCAAAGGCTGCTGCTGGTGAAGACTTAAAGGAAAATGAGAAAAAATGATTTTGGAAACTGGAGGAAAGGAGATCCTTTTAAAATAGTAGCAGAACGGTTAGTAACACTGACACCTACAGTAACATGGAAAGTAGGAAATGTACCTATGAACTGGGTGGTTTAAGATTTCTAGGTAAGTGTGGGAGGTGCTGCCTATCTTCTTTTTCCCACTTAGAGTAAAATGCAAAAGGAGAAAGATGAGCTAAAGAAAGGACTGTTAAATATAAATATAAAATTGTTTGGTGTGAAAACTATCCATTTCTAAAAATGGCTTCTGGAAAAGAACAAATTGAAAGCTCTAAACATAGTCTAAAGATGAAGCTGTGACTATAAAATATTTTTTCAGATTTCAAAAAGATCTCAGTTGGTACCTCTGAGAACTATACTAACAACAGGGCTTCCCAAAAGCTAAAAACATCTATGTGCAGGTTTTTGAATGCACGTAAAATTTTAATTCCTTTGAGTACAATTGCTGGATCCTATGGTAAGAATGTTTAGTTTTGCAAGAAACTGCCAAACTGTCTTCCAAAGTGGCTGTACCATTTTGCATTCCTACCACAATGAATGAGAGTTCCCATTGTTCCATATCCTCCATGTCTTCAAAATTTGAAGTTGGCAGTGTATTGGATTTTTGCCATCTAATAAGTGTGTAGTGGTATCTCATTGTTCCTTAATTTGTAATTCCTTAATGACATATGATGATGAGTTTTTTTTTTTCATATGCTTATTTGCCATCTATATATCTTCTTTGTTGAAGTGCCCGTTCAGGTCTTTTGCCTATTTTTAAATGGATTTACTGTCGAGTTTTAGGAGTTCTTTGCCTATTTTAGATAACAGTCCTTTATCAAATGTGTCTTTGGTAAGTATTTTCTCCTGGTCTGTGGCTTATCTTCTAGTTCTCTAGAGAGTGTCTTTTGCAGAGCAGAAGTTTTTAATTTTAATGAGGTCTAGTTTATCAATAATTTCTATCATGGATTATGCCTTTCGTGTTGTATCTAAAAAGTCATTGCCAAACACAAAGTTCTCTAGATGTTCTCCCATGTTAACTTCTATGAGTTTATAATTTTGCATTTTACATTTAGGTCTTTGATCCAGTTCAGTTCTTACGAAGGGTGTGAGGTCTGTCTAGATTCATGTCTTTGCATGTGGGTGTCCAGTTGTTCCAGCACAATTTGTTGAAAAAACTATCTGTTCCATTGTATTAACCTTCACTCCTTTGTCAAAGATCAGTTCATTATATTTGTGTGGAACTGTTTCTAGGCTCTGTATTCTGATTCACTGATCTGTTTGTCTAGTCTCACCAATACCAGCCTATCTTGTAGCTTTGTAGTAAATCGTGAAGCCAGATAGGGTCAGTTCTCCAGCTTTGTTCTTTTCCTTCAATATTGTTTTAGCTATTCTATATAAACTCTCCATATAAACCTTAGATCAGTCTGTGAATATCTACAAAGTAACTTGCTGGAATTTTGTTTAGTATTGCATTTAGTCTATAAATCTCAGAAAAACTGACATCTTAACACAGAGTTTTTACTATATACAAACATGGAATAGCTTTCTATTTATTTCCTTCTTTATTTCTTTCATCAGTATTGTTTTTCTCATAAAGGTCTTGCACATGTTTTGTTAGATTGATACCTTAGTATTTAATTTTCTTTGGTGTTAATGTAAAGAGTATTGTGCTTTTAATTTCAAATTCCACTTGTTCACTGCTGATATATAGGAAATGAGTTGACTTTTATGTATGAATATTATATTTTACAACCTTGCTATTAGTTATTTCAGTTTTTAATTTTTCAGATTTTCTACACTGACAATTGTGCCATCTGCAAACAAAGATTTATTTCTTCTTTCCTAACCTATGTACCTTTCATTTCCTTTTCTTGTCTTAGTATGCTAACTAGAACTTTCAGTATGTTGTTGCAAAGGAATGGTGATCCTTGCATTGTACATGATCTTCATTGGAAAGCTTTGAGTTTCTTGCCATTAAATATGATGCTAGTTGTAGCTTTTTTGTAGAATTATCAAGTTCTTCCTCTTTATCAAAAGGAGTTCTTCTCTATTCCTAGTTTACTGAGAGTTACTTAGTAACATCATGAGTGGATGTTAGATTTTATTGAACGCTTTTTCTGCAACTATTAATATGAGAGCATGATTTCTTGTCTGTTGGTGAGATGGATTAATTCTTTTTTAAATGTTTAACAAGCCTTCCATAGAATTCACCAGTGAACCAATCTGGGCCTGATGCTGTTTTGAAAGGTTGATGACTGATTCAATTTCCTTAACAGATATAGACCTATTCAGATTTCTTCTTGTGTTTGGCACAACGAGGGAATTGGTCTGTTTCATCTCGCATTTCAAATTTGTGAGCATAGAGCTGATCATGTCCCTTTATTATCCTTTTAATGTCCATAGAAGGATCTATAGTGATGACATCTCTTTCATTTCTGATATCATGTCCTTTTTTTCCTTAGTCAGTTTAGAGGTTTATTGATTTTATTGATCTTTTCAAAGAAACCAGGTTTTAGTTTCATTGATTTTTCTGTATTTTTTCTTTTCAATTTCATTGGCTTCTGCTCCATTTTATTGTTTTTCTTCTTTCATGTTTTCTTTTTCTAGTTTACTAAGGTAGAAGTTTAGATGATTGATTTTATATTTTTTCTAATATTAACATTCATTACTATAATTTTCCCTCAAAGCACTGCTTTCACTGCATCCCAAAAATTCTGATAAGTTCTATATTCATTCTTATTTAGTTCAAAATAAAATTTATCTTAAACTTTCTTTGCCCATATGTTATTTAGAAGTGCTTCATCTCCAAGTAGTTTGGGATTTTTTTCATTCAGACTCTCCTGCAGCTAAAGAAACTTCAAAAACTGATAGCATCAGTACTGGTGAAGGTATAATGTTCTCAGACACTTTGGGATTAGAAACTGGAACAATTATTTTTGGAATGTGTTTTGGTATTCTTTACTAAAGTTATCATTTTTAATGTACATTTCCTATGATCCAGAAAAACAAAAACGTAGAAAGAACCTTAATATTCATCAAAATTTAATGCTACTTATTAGTCAACATAACCTAAGTTATATTTTAGTAACAAATGAACCATAAAACCATGCCATAAACACAGAAAATGTTTATTTCTTGGTCATGCTATACATTCAGTTTGGGATGGTTAGTTGGCAGGGATTTTACTCTACACTAAAGGTCCCAGGCTGATGGGTTCTTTGCTCTCCTCAATGTTCACATTTCTGTGCTTGGCTTTCAGGAAAAAATAAGTTCTGGAGAGCAGCCCAGGGACTTTTTATTTCCTCAGCCTAGAAATCACACTTGTCATATCCACTGGTCATAACTAGTCACATGGAGTCAACTAACAGAATTGTAGTTTCCAAAATCCCAGGAAGGAAGGGGAAATAAGATATAGATGATCTCTAAAAATCTCTACCTCAATTACACAGTGAGGTAGATATGCATGTATCAACCTTGGCTATATTACCAAATTAAAACAACAACAAATGTTAAATATGGTTAACCTCATTTTGTTAAAAAGAGACATCTCTACATATTTCTGGAAAACATTTTCAGATATTAAGTTCTGCTTTTTTATTTCTCCATGTCCTTCCTTTTCTTTCTATTCAAACAGATCAAAGTCTCCAGGCTTCCTGTCTTGAGAAATGTGGCAGGATATCGTAAGAGAAATCAAACTCCAAAATCTGGATCTTCAGTCCAGAGATGTATCCTGAACTTCATGTATCACATAGCCCATTCCCTAGTGTCTCATTCTCCTTGGATGGCTCATAGATTCCTGAAACTTTATTCAGTCTTTTCCCTGTAAACTTAGTCCTCATTCTGTTATCTCACCATATCACATCCCCATTCATCCAGTGGCCAACATCATAGGGTTATGACCTTACCCCCACAGTCACCAGGTCCCACACCCCTCTCAGATCCATTCTTCTCTTTCTCTGCACCTCCATTACTTTGTCTTTCATCATTAATGTGACAGCCTCTAATCTTGTTCTTTACCTCCGGGCTCCCTTTACTTTTATTCTGAAATGAAAACCAGACAGCGCCACTCCTTTACTTAAATGCTTAACCCACTCTCCACAATTTTCAGAATAAAATGATTCAAAATCACTTAAGACATCATGCCAGCCTGCCTATTAAGCCTCTGCCTCACAAGCTATACTTGCTCTTCTCTCCAAATGACATGCATTCTCTCACCAAGTATTTACACATCTTGCTGGGAACTCCTACCTACCTTTGCTAGATGTATGGCCATTTTTCCAAATGGTTGTTTGATGTACTGGTTACCAGAGTGCATGCAAGCTCAAGAGCTTGATGGAACCACACATTTGTGCAGTTCAGGCCCAAGGTGCAGGTTTTGAAAAGGCAGTTCCTATCCAAAGATGGAACCTCCCTAAACTACCCTTTGAAAGGTAGTTCCTCTCCTCACCTTCTTTAGTCCTTTTATTTCCTTTAATTTCTATGTCATGCCATAGTTTCCCTTGTAACTCAATACAATTTGTAATCTTAACTGATTCATTTCTCCCCATTTTCTCCCATCACTGCTACCAAATTCTAAGCTCCATTTAAGAACTTGCATAATATCATTCACAGCAGTTACCACTTGGGCCTCATTTATAGAAGGCTCTTAAAAGGTACTTGTGAATCAATAAATAATGAGATAGTGATAACAATTATCACACTGAGTTATGGTTTTCTAGTTCTCAATCAGGAAACATTAAGTAAATGGCACCATATTTTTAGTTTTGTCCCAGTCATCTGGATCATAAAACGGAAGCAAGAGTACAAGATCATCTCATTCTCAAAGAATTTATAATCTAGCTTGAGATATAGGCATACCTGTAACACGAGCACCCAGAGAACAATTCATACACCTGTTCCTGACTTCATGTTATCTTCTATTAATTCTACTGCATGTGCTAAGTTCTTTAAGGGATTAAAATCATAATTTGTTTATGGAGTCAAGATAAATACATGAGGAGTTATGGATTACAATATAAAGACTATGTAATTAGATTCAAATAATTCTGCAACAAATATTAGGCCCCCAATTTTTTCTGATACACAGTTTCAATAGGGTCATTGCAAAGATCAAAATACAAATTACATTAATGTCTTCTGGAAGCTGTACATCACACCACAAATTCAACCTACAGTAATAAAAAATCTTTCCAAAGCATGCTGAAATAAGTTAAAGAAGACACACTCAGAAAACACAAACTAATATTGACAAAACATGATGTCAAAGGCCTTGATCTTGTTTTTTCATTATTCCTACCTAATTTTAACTGCAATATTCTAAAGTGTGAAGAAAAACTTCATCAGGGTTGTAGAACCATGGAGCATTTCTTGGTCAAAATGCCTTTATTGTGGCTCACACATTTTACTTCATTTAACCAAGCAAGTTTAAAATACTGTTTAGCACTGTGTTATGTGAGGTGAAGCATACAGTGTAAAATAAGATTCCTCTCCTGAAAGATGCAAGAGGTAAGATGAGAACCAATTACCATTTTAATACAAAACAAGACGAATTCTGGCTCCTTTGCTGCCAAAGGGAAGACATTGAAAATTCAACAACAGAGAAGTGTAAAATCACTTTGAAAATGTCCATGTTTACCAGGTAATATATACAGCAGATATCTGTGGTCTAGCTTCCACCCTACAGGAGAGATTTTTACTTTCTACTTTACTAATTTCTGTATTCCTTGGAGCATTTATTAAGTTTGTGTAGCTTTTAGAATCACAGAAATCTCTCTCTAGACTACACACACACACATAACCCCTAGAGAACTGTCAGCCCCATACCTTGAAACCAGTTATAAAGAAGTTTTAGGAGTTTCAGTATGAAAAAAATTGTTAAAATGTAACTGAAGAAATGGAGAACAGACCAGTAGTGGTTGCTAGGGCTCAGGATGGCGGTAAGGGAGATGAGTTTGGCTATTAACAGTATAACAGAGGGATCATTGTAATAAAACTGCTCTATACCTTGCCTCCTGTATCAATTGTCAATATCCTGGTTACACCATGGTTTTGCAAGATATCACCCCTGGGGGAAACTGGGTAAGGGGCATAGGGATCTCCATATTATTTCTTACAACTGCATATGAGTTTACAATTATCTCAAAAAGAAACTGTAATTTAAAAATGATTGCAACGTTACAACTAACTGAATAAAATCTGGATCCATGAACCCATACTGGTATAAATAAACAAATAAATTAATGGGAAAGGACAGAACTTTTTCCTACAGTAGGAAGCTAACAAACTTTTTGAAGAGAAAAGAGAATTAGAAATTCATCATTTGGCAACCAGCAGAGTAATGATTAATTCATTCAAGAAATATCAGCGGGTGTTAAGACTAGGTGCTAAAATTTAATGAGGAACAGAATTATTTCCTACAAAATGCTTATTGCCAAGGAGGAAACAAAAAAGAGTAATTTTCTTCATAGTGAAGAAACATTAATCAAGTTGTCAAAATCAACATCACCCAGTAATAGAACAGATCAATGCCATGTGCTACGTGATACAGTGAGAACCACAGTAGCACTTCTATGTTATTTAAAGATAAATAATATGAATCCAATCATAAATATTGGACAAACCAAATTCTACAACACGACTGGCCTGCGACCTGTAAATAACAAGATCATGCAGGTCAAGAAAAGACCAAGACACTGTTCACCACTGAAGATTCAAGAGATCTGATAACTAAATACAACCAGTGATCCTTAATTTACTTTGCTATAAGGGACATTATTGGAAAGATCGGTGAAACTGGAATGGGGCTTTGAATTAAATAATAGTTTATGTATCAGTGTTAATTTCCTGATTTTGATGGGTGTATTGAGTTTATGAAAGGGACTATCTTTGTCTGTAGGAATTACACAGTATTCAAGGATGATGGGGTGTCATGTTGACAACATACAAATGTTCAGGAAAAATGTCCTGTAAATTTGGCAAACTTTTCTCCCAGTTTGAGATTATTTCAAAATAAAAATTATGTGTAGTATAAAAAATGCAACTGATATTTTTTCCTGGAGTCTACAGCTCAAGAGATCATGGTGTACTCAATTTCTCTTTCCTCTTCCAATGAACATGGTCCAATGAGGATAGCATGATTGAACATAGAATTCTCTAAATCAGGGGTTGGCACACCTCTTCTGTAAGGGGCAGATAGTGAATATGTTGGGCTTTGAGATACAGTGTCTGTTGCAAATATTCAGTTCTGCTACTGTAGTACAAAAACAGCCAGAAACAATACAGTAACTGAGTGTGGATGTGTTCCAATAAAGCTTTATTTATGGACACTGAAATTTGAATTTCATATACTTTCCATGAGTTGCAAAATATTCCAATTCTCCCCCCTTCTCCCCACCCCAGTCATTTAAAAATGTAAAACCCATCCTTAGCAAACAAGTCATAGAGATTTGGCCAATGGGTCTTAGTTTGCCAACCTCTGGTTTAGGGTTTAAAATGGTCTATACATGCCACATCATTAAACAGATCATTAGTAAATACTCTGTGAATATGAGCATCATAAATTCCAGGAAAGAATTAGAGAATTTTATATATAGACTATACAAGGTACAGGGGAATGTTACAGAATAAACAGACCCCACTTTGGAAGACTGATGACCCATTTTGGCTCTTAGTTACACATATTCTTGGTCAGACGGTGCCTAATCCAGGCCCAGCCCAACACACAAAACAACCCCAATTCTTCTGAGGGTTTGGAGTCAGGGGAAGCTCACTTGCTGTTAAAAAAAATAATTTTTTTCAAAAGGTCTCAACATGGGAATGAGTCCTAAGTAAATGATCAATTACATGGACAAAGTTTTGTATACATAAAATTTTTACATTATTTATAATAGTGAAAATTAGAAATAACCTACGTTTCCCACACCTGCCTCATGACGTGTTTCTACAGTTTTCATCTAGTAGAAACCACACACTGGGTTTAAGAAGAAGAGCTAGAAACAATATCAGAAAATGACACTGCAAAAGTTAAGAGACTAATGGACTACATTAGAAGGAAGATGAATGATGGGATCTAAAGCAACAGTTAACTGGAAGCCTGGTAATAGTAACTGTATGATATCAGCTGACATTCTGAGTCTAGGAAATTAGGGCTTCACTAATTTATAAAAAGGGAATACTAAGAGGTGGCTAATTTGTGAAGAAGAGTTCTACGACATTTAATTTCTACAATCTTACATCCACCTAAACTGAAAGGTTTGGAATCCTCTTTCAAATACTCAATGACATATTCACTTGAACAAACATTGTGTTATCTTTCCCCAACATATTAGCAATATACTGAAAAGAATAGAATCAGCATATAATTGGAAGGGATCTGTCACTTTTATTAGTTATTAAATCAATCAGCATGAAGATCACAGTCACTTTGTAAACTCCTAGTGAGGGTTTTTCATGAAGTTGTCATAAAGTTTTTATAAAATCAGAATTCTTCCAAAAGAAACTCTAACAGCTATACCATTGAAGTAAGGTATTGTCCCAAGATGTTCCCGCTTTCATGCAACATAAACCATCATCCTTGGACACTAGAAAGACTTAATACTGAACTGGAAAAAAAAGGAGTTCTGACCTGAGGAAACATATTGGTGGCTTCACCTCAGAGTTCAGAAGCCCTTGGGGCAGGGAAATAAAGCAGGTTGCAGAAGGAATGCACCACGCCATACAAGCTGGAAGTTCCTGAACAAGAGCAGCAGCACTGACCAGAACCACACGCTACCAAACACTGATTGAGAACGATTTATTAAGGCCCAATTAGTATGCTCTTAATTTCAAATAGTCCACATCTCCTTCAGAATATATGCACATGAGGAAAAGTTCAAGTCCATTTCTTTTACTTCCAAGATAAAATGTTCTGTATTTTGTATAAATTGTGTGCAAACACCTTTCTGCTAACTGGTTCCCCACATTGTTTTCACTGTGGGCATGGGCACTTTGCAGGTCTGCCCTCTTCTTAAAGGCTGACCATGCTCTAGCTGCCTCCTTCCTAGACAATTCTTCTGGACATCTTTCTCTTAAACACACTCCTGACTTTCCCACAACTGCTTCATGACCATGACTTACTGCTTATAACAAACTGGTGCAATTGCTAGTTCACCTGGACAATGCATTAAACAGGTTATCACCTAATAGGGGGGCAGCTTATTGGGGGTGATTCCTACAGAATGCACAGTATCCAGTCACATCACATACTGACACCCTCAACCCATTAGTACAGAAAGGTTCCCAGCTATTTAATAAGAAGATCCTTTATTCACTTTTCATGTTTGAGTCTTTGCATTTTCTTCAATTCTACACTACAGCTGTGGTTACCAAGAGCTGGATAATGGGCCCCTCAAAGAAATTTTGGAATTGCTAGAGATATTAACTAGGGCATCCTCGAATTTGTAACAGTTGACGTTCTAGGTCACTCTCAACTAAAGTAACTACTGCATTTCCTTTGTAAAAAGGTAATTTAACTGTCTTTCCTCACAGTTGCCACCCATGTGGTGCAAAGCAGGAAATCCTTTTTATAAGAGAACATAAAAAGACATTTCACATTTTTTTAAAAATCCTTCTTGGGAATAAGTCCTAAGTAAATAATCAATTATATGGACAAAATTTTATGTACACAAATTTTCACATTATTTATAGTAGTGAAAATTAGAAATAATGTAAGTAGTCAACAATATGGGAATGGTTAAATAAGAGTTGTGCCCATTAAGTGGAATATTATACAGTCATTAAAATGATGTTTTTGTAAAATTTTTAATGCCGTAGGAAAATGTGGCAATACTGCAGTGGGGGAAAAAATGGTTATAAAAGTGTTTACAGCATGATCCCAATTATATCAAAAGGTATATCATACATAGAGGTATACACAGGGGATAAAGTTGTTAATGATGGTTATTACTGGGTTGTGATATTATCAGTATTTTTTCTCTTTTACGTACTTCTGCTTTCTCAAGTTTTCTACAGTAACTGTGTATTATTTTATAATACAGGAAAATACAGGCTGTTAAAAATTCCTCTGATGCACTGATAATTAGAATGTACTTGTTGTTATACATTTATAAATATGTGGGGACAATATTTCTGTGCTTCATCTTCTATGACTTTTTAAGTATATATATTCTTTTGGAAATAAACTTATACCCTGTTTGTTTTATATGTATTACAACACTTTAATAAAAAGGTAATATTGTGATGAGGGGATTGGTTGTTTCATAACCTAAACAAATACTGGCTTTGACATCTGGGTTCTATTTCTTAGAAGATTTAAAATTAACACCTTTTTATCTTTTTTAAGTAAGGCCTACTGCATACATACCTTATATGTATGCTTTCTAAAATAATTCTAATTTACAGTTTTCCTACATAAGGAAAAAAATGGGAGTTACGGTAGTTTAAAAACAGTCTATAGTCTTAACCATCACAAGCATGCTGATAGGTATAAACATGTTTATTAAATGAAATGTATCCTTTAAAAGTAAAAAAGGGAAGCCTGTATGTAAATGGACTTGTGGATTCAATTAGTCAGAATTTATTCTGACTTGCACCAAACCACACATCTTCTGAAGTCTAGTTAGTGTAGCCTAAATGGACACTCCAGAGTCTGTTTAGGAATTCCATTGCAAGATCTCCACTTTGTACTTTCAAAAGGAATGGGGATTAGGATGACGGTTGTCACATAAGCTAATTCTCAATATATATCAAGTCTTGTGGGTCTAGGAACAAATACTGCCATGGGTTAGTGTTTGAGTACAAAAGTTTATTTTTCCTCTTCTCACACCCCACCTGGCCCTGGCATTTAGGTAGGGGGTGTCTGCTCATCCCTCAATCAATGACGGCTGGCTTCTCATCTTAGTTTCCTTTCTAAACCACAGAGTGGTCATTGCTGTGAACTCCAGCCAAGATGGTGTGGTTGAGCGAGGAAGCTGAGCGGTCTGAGCCTTCTGTGGGGCCACTGGTGTTCTCAGTGCGCTGGCAGCAGAGGATCTGTCTGAAGGTGGCACTCATCTCCTTGTCCCGGTAGGAGTAGATGATGGGGTTCATGGCAGAGTTGAACTCGGCAAGCAGAAGGAAAAACTTCTCGTAAGCCAGAACATCACACTGTGGACAGCACACGTCAAGAAGTAACAAGACCAATCCAGGGGTCCAGCAGATGATAAAGGCACCTATGAGGACAAAAAAAAAAGGAATTATGAAACAGGTGACCTTAAAAAGTGAAATGATTCAGGTTCAAAATAAAATCAAAATACTAAGATTCAAAGATACCATCTGAAATGAAATGTTCATTTTCTGAAATAATCTGAAAAAAATGTTGATTGACTTAATAAAATGCCACTAATTCAGACCCTACTAAAACTGAGTACTGATGATAATTACTTTGAGGAAAACACAGAGCTTGCTAAGTAATTGAGACATGAAAAACTGCATTCAGGATACACATGTCGAAGTGTATAAAGACATGGTTTTTAACAGCATAATTTTTTTTTCAAGTAAAAGATAAGCTCTGTGACAATGTCCTTTTTAGGTAAGGTGCAGTTTCTGGATTCATGTTGACTGGGCTCCAACACAAGCTTTGCTTTTTAATAAATAGCCAAGTGAACTGGGCACTTACTTTCTTACCTCAGTTTTCCCATGTGAAAAATAGAAGTGATTGTATTTACCTCATTGATTTACTGTAAGAAGTAAAAGAGTGCTAAGAAAATGATCACCCAGTATATCTTACCAGTAACAACAATGACATTGTTTACTATCTGCTCAGTAACATGGGTCTGTCTGGAAATAGCAATTTCTAATGATATGTTTACTTTTATTTTTATGCAACATTAATTGGTACTTTTCTCTTTGCTTTACAGATATTAACTCACTTAATCTGCACAATAGCCATATGAGATAGAAATGAGTACCCTATCATACAGATGAAGAAACTGAGAACCAGAAAAGATAAATAACTTGCTGAAGGCCATGGTCATGGAACATGGCAGACAGGAGACAAAACCCCAGATTTCTGCCCTTAGGCCAGTTCCAAGGTCCACACTCCAGAAAATAATGTGTTCTACTCCCACTTCTTGAAATTAATAAAACTAAACCCTTTAAACCAGATGTTAGGCTACAGATGTTTTACTAATTCAGATCAACTTTGTTCTCTTTCTTTCCCAACTATTCTGCATCAGTAAGATTTTACTATAACTGTAAAAAGAATGGAAATATAGATTATATTTTATTCCAGCTTATTTGGTTCCTGAAATCACTCATTTGGCTCCTAGGGAAAACAGTGGTTGAGAAATAGCATTAAAATCTACCAAGGTGCCACCCCAAGATCTGCTGGGGTCTTCAGCTAATAGCACATGAACCAACAGAACCCGTGGGCACCGTGTGTGATCACAGGCCCGATCGCAGTCCAGCTAGAGGAGCTGTGATGGGACCAAAGGAAAGACTCAGAAAGAGCATATAAGACATGGGAGTTCACTGGGACTTGGGTACAGGAGTCCAGGAGTAGCTGGCTAGACAAGATGGTGCACTACTATCTTGGACAGGGAGGGAACTGTTTACATGGCATGAGGAGACAAAGACCACATGTACACCGGGGTGAGGGGACAGAGATGATGCATGCCAAAAGGGTATATGTGATTTATGATCATATTACATGCTTTCCTAGAAAGGCTCATTCTTGTGTGACCAGCACTCTAAGGAACAAAACCTCAGGCAGAGGGATAGCTTTCCAATAAGATGTTTCCATCAGTAAGGCAGGACTGAATTTGGCCAGCCCCAGGCCATGAACACACCATATACTTAGCATCCTGCCTGAAAGAGGGGACCAGGTGGACATATCATGATTCCGTGTTACAAGCAGGCAATGTTTATCCCCACACGCCCTCATAGCCCATTATATCTCACCCCATATAGACAATCAGGCTCTGTAATGAGCAGACAGGGAATGGGGTGATCACAGAAGAACATTTGAATCTTTAAATTTAAATGGTTCTGGCCTAGGCAGAGTCAGGCTCATGGATTTGGTCTAGTCTCAAGGAATGAGCTTCACAGATGTAAACAAATGAGATTTAGTCTCCCAACAGACCAATTTTGAATGTGAGCTTTCTTTCTTGAATTTTTTCAGCAGGGAAATGAAAATAAAGAAAGGAGAAAAGTACCCCCGTGAAGCTCTTTGTTCTAAAACACAAATGTGTATTGGTTTTAAACTGCTGTTCACTTTGAAGACTGTCCAAGGTGCTTCATTTTCTAATAAATACAATACCTTAGACTTTCCTTAGAGAGAAAAAAAATATTTCAAATATCAGAAGATAATAGCAAGGAGCTATTTGAACTTCAAGTAAAAATGTTAATAAAGCATTCATTCCAAGTCCTTAAATTTCCTTGCTTGAAAATCACTCAGAAAGCTAAACATAAAGGAATATCAAAGGAATGCCTCTTGGGTTTCAGAAATAATGCATTATTCATTGAGAAGCCAGGAAGGGAATTATTTTCAGGGTGGAAAATGCTTGGATGGAAAATGCATGGTCCCATTATTCCATTTACTTGGACACTAAAAACATGCAGGCCCTTCATGAATGGTGCAGCATTCCTTCCAGTTTCCTTTCCTCTTTCTTTTATCAAAGCTCTAATTGAACTCCAATTCAGAGCTTGATTGGATACCAGCAACATGCATCTCAACAGATTTATTTTAAATGAAATTATCTTTTTCTCCCCCCAGACAAAATGGAACACCCTTGTTCTCATGGACCTGCTCAAGCGGCAGGACTTTGTCCAAAAGTGACAGAATTCAAGTACAGTCATTTGCTGTGTATAATGTCTTCTAATTTTTAAATTCAAAAAGAGCAAGATCTTTTCAATGAGAGCCATTATCTCAGAAACAAGCCCATAACCCTTGCTTTTAAAAAGACCAAATAATGCAGAGAGCTGCACTAGATCAGAGACAGGAAGTTGGGAACACGATGGCCTGACTCAGGAGCTAACGTATGAGGGCACTTCCTTGAGGAACTCGGAGTCTGTTTCCTTCTTCCCTGACAGGAACTGCTGTTAGTGCTCCACTAGACCTAACTAACACTCTGTGTTCAGTTCTTCAAGACCTGACTGAAGAACTCAAGGGACTCATATAGTTCAGGCCTCAAAAACTAACATCTAAAACTAATTGTACAGTTATCCCTACTCCCTTCCCTTCTCTTCGTAGAGGTGCCAAGCATCAAACAGACTAAAAGATGAGGATGGATTACAGATGTGGGGATCAGGGCCTGGAAAATTCCAACGTGGCTTCTAAACAACAGTGAGTGAATACTAGGAAATCAAGCTTGCTCAAATTATGGATTTACCCCCAAGCTCCTAAACACACAAGCTAGTCACAGGCTCCTTTAGTAACAAGTAGCCAATTGTAATTCAGTTTATAGGACTTGAGGTGTGCATTGTGGACCCTATCAACACATAATCTGTGAAGACTCAGGTGTACACCCATAAGGCACGTTGATAAGAGTAAAAAGAACCTCCATCCTCACATGTGTAAAGTGGAGAATAGCTCCCTGTCTACTTCATGGGGTGTAGTGAGGATTAAATTGGAATACCAAAAGTCCTCTATATGCAGCACATCTACCTGACTCAACTCCCTGTTCCCATCGTGGGTAGCGTGATGTGGGAAGGCTGGAGCAGCGCCGTGTCAGGGCAGACTTCCTCCAGGGCAGAATGTGGAAGCAGGTTTTGGACTGTGAATACCTGGTATTTCAAAAAGCTCTGCGATGCTGCCAGTCTGATTGGAAGAGATTCCAAGGACTTGCAGTTAGATGTGAGGAGGATAAGGAGGAGAAGAGGGAACACAGAGATGCACATGAGCCCCAAATTATTTTGGGGGTTCTCATGGGTTGACTCAATCTACCCCAAGATGGCAAATAAAATAATGTGGTACATAGGGACAGTGCTTTCCAGAACATCTCTGACGGGCAAATCATGCCCTATACATGAAAGAATGCCAACCCTGCCTTCCTTCTTGCATTTTTTAATCTCTTTCACATTAAGTAGTATCATACACAAACATTTTCCACATCCTATAACAGAGTCTAAATCATCCTACAACTTACTTATGAAAGTAAGAGGGAGCACAAGAAGTTTAGGGTTACTTACTATAAAAGCAGAAGCAGAAGAGGCATAAGATGTCCAAGGTCACGGAGACCTTATATATCCAGCTAACATTTGAAATTCCTCTAGTCCAGCACTGGTTCTCAACTTAGGCACATATTACAGTAGTTGGAAGAGTTAAAAAGAAATAACGATCTTCACCTATACCTCCCCCTATGAGACTTCAATTTCATTGGACTTTTTGATCAAAGTCTCATTTAATATACAACACTGCAACAGAGTGGAAGAAGAAAATGATCTGGATAAAAATAAAAGCAAAACACCCAAATGCTGAGATGTTTCCAAAGTCCGATAAGAGAAATAATGAAAGTCTGAATCGCGGCAGTGGCAAAGGGGAAGGAGGTACAGAAGAACTGAGAAGGTATTTAGGAAATGAACCGCATGAAATGCATAAAAAGAACCTAGGATGACTCCCAGATTTTCCATTTGGCTGGAGCAAGAACGGTGCTGCCTTTCACTGAAGGAGGAATCCCAGAAGCAGGTGCTGGGCGGTGTTTTCTGAGGGAAGATGAGAAGAACAGACATGATGACATTGGTTTCATATGTTTTTAGCTTGTGGTGCCTGCAAGCCTTTGGAAGGATATGCCTGAAAGACCTGAGGGTGGGCTCATGGCAGTTTGAGTCCCGGGAAACTGTCTCTCAGTGCCCTGAACAAGAGTGGTTATGTTCTGCATGATTTGCCAACATTACAGGTAACACAGGGAGAAGGGTATTCAGAAAATATCTGTGGGCTGGAATAAATAGCAGAGGCTGCTCTTCCAAGAGCAAGGTTCATCCCTTTCTTATACATTTGCCAAATCAATCCGTGAGGGCCCCAGTGCCCACAAAGATGGAAGGAGAGGTGCTGGAATGCAGACGTAAAAAGCAGAGAGGAAGGAGGCTGTTTGGGGACAACAGGTCACAGCTGCGGAAGAAGATCGTATTACCACCTTCCCTCCAATCTGCACAAGCCCATCAGCTGAATAATGCTTACCATCTGGTCTCACAATTAGAGTCTTTCTCCTAGAGTGACTTTTTCCTAACCAGT